AATGCCCTGGCCTCTCGTCTCTGCTTTCCTCACGTGTAGCACCTCCTGTACCCTCCAGTTCACACGCCTAAGCTGAGGGACATCCACCCCAGAACGCTTGGGAACAGGCTCCTGTGCGGGTTCAGGGCGCCGTAACTGGAATCTGCTCCCTGTTACCAGGGCAGTATCCTGGGACAGCCTCTGATTCCCACCCCATCTGTCTGGGGCACAGGTTTCCTTCCAGCAGCACCACAGTGGGATGCCCACGGTGGCTGAGAGCATCTAGGCAGCCCACCCTCCCAGGGCTCTGGCCCGATGGGGCAGACACGTTCGGGTCACTAGGCAGCTGGCCCAGTGCGGGACAGGGGTGTCAGGGACAGCTTCTGAGGGGAGCAGAGCACTTCCAGGAGGTGAGGTCGGGAGGGCAAAGCCCTTGGGGATTGGGGAGACCCCACTACATGGCAGTGACCTCCAGGCCTGTGCTCTCCAGGAATGCCAGGTGGTGGGAGGAGGATGGATGGAATGAAAACAATGACCAGGTAAGCGTGGGCGTGTAAACGGCACAGGAGATGCAGTCTGCACACTCCACCAAGCCCTCACTCCCAGACCGCTCCACCCTGGCTCGGCCCTCCAAGAACCAAGACCCTCCCCAGCCCAGGCTGGCCCTCAGCACTTTCTCAACCCTTTCCTGGGGCCCTGAGCACTGTCTGCTCCCAATCCCCATACCAGGTGAGGGCCCCAGCAGGTAGGGATCAGACAGCAAATGTGTGAACCATGGCCTGGAGTCAAGATCAGGCCCTGAGGACCCTCCCGGAGCCAAGAGGCCAGGGTCCCATGCTCTGAGCACCACCTGGGCCACCCCATGCCCCTGGGGCAGGCACACGTGTCAAGGAACACTTCTGAAGTCCTTTATTAGGCCAGCAAGGCCAGGAGCTGCCCTCGGAGTGGGGTCCCAGTCTGGAGGCTTGAGGCCCAGGGCACCCCTGCCCGTTTCTGACTGGGGCAGGCGGGCTCCTCTGACAGGCTACTTGATTCGCTCCTTCAGGTATTCCCAGCCATCCTTGGTGTATTCGCAGGCCTTGGATGGGGCCACTGACAGGGCAGACATCACCATAATGATGCCTGTAGGGAGGAAGGGAGGACACGGCGCCTGTGAGGTTCCCCACCTACAGCCAAGGGATTTAGTACAGGCCCCCTCCCCCAGGACACCCAGCTTGGCCATGCTGGTAGAGGCACCACTTCTAGCTCTGTCAATTCCACACAGGGAAACTGAGGCAGAGGAGGGGTCAGGGCCTTGCGTTGTCTGAGACCACCCAACCCCGGTGTGCTCCCACGGGGCCCCAGCTCTCAAGAAGAGGCTCCATTCGCTCCCACTTCCCTGGAAACCCCACCCGTCTTTTTTAGATCGTGGGAGGCACACACAGCAGTTAAGGGGAGTGATGGAAAGGCATGCCAGGAAGCAGGATGGGGAGTGTCAGACTGGGGGATCTGGGGCCACCCTCCAAGCAGAGGCACCAAGACCTACCTGAATTCCAGGAGTCACGGATGTGAAAGTTAAACTTTGGAGGGGCTGGGAGCTGGGAAGAGACAGGGGAGAGGGGCTGGTTAAAGGGAAAGGGCCCAGCAGCTCCAGCCTCCTTCACAGCAGGAAGAGCAGCACACGCCCCAGTGCAGAGGACACCAAACAGGGCTGGAGGGACCAGGGACAGAACGCCACCCCAGACTTGACACCCCCCTCCTGCCAAGCCTCAGCGCGGGGTACCTGGGGTATCTTCAGGCCTGTCTGCTCGCACACGTACTGGCTGAACTGGTACATGGCTGGGGGTACCACCTCCTCGGCCTTCTGAAGGGCTGCATGACTTTTGTCACTGGGACCCAGCAGCTCCTGGTCATACACCAGGTAGACCACGCCCCCAGCCACAGTGCCCTTGATGAGAAACCTGCGAACAGGAAAGGGAACAGCTCAGGAAACACTGCTGGGCACCCTCTGAGGCCTAGACCCACGGGAGGAGGAGTTAAGACTCCCAGGAGGCCCCACAGTCCAAAGAGTGAGGCCACACCTGAAGCCAAGGAGCTAATAGAAGCACAGGGCACCTTGCTAGCCCCGAGGCTTGCCTGGCCCCTACTATGCACAGCGCTCCACTTAGTGTGCAAAGCTGGGCTACTCCGCCCCATTTAACTGGTAAACTGAGGCCCGCATAGGGACAGGTGGGTCACTCGTGATCCCACAGAGAGCAGGGAACAGTAAAGACTTAAGTCCTCTGACTTTCTGCCTTCCACCCCAGGAAGGGACTCTCCGTGAGCAACCTGCAAGGGTTTTCCAAGTGCCCCTGGTCGCTTCCTATATGTCCTAGGCCGTTCTGGGCATGCATTAACCTCCCAATAAATGGCGTGTGGCACTCCCATTTTACAGAGGAGGCAACTGAGGCTCGGAGAGATCTTGCATACCGAGACGGAAGGCAAGGGCTCGCACGACCTCGGGAATCCCCTCCCCGCTTGAACCTCAGTTTCTCCATTTGGGCCACAGGGCACCTGACACTACGGAAAGCGAAGAGCAGCTCGGGAGCAAACCAGAAAGGGGTGTCCGTAGGAGGAGAATTTCTCGGGGGCTCGGGGCCCGCCCAGCGACCCCATGCACCTCATCAGCGACCACACTCGGGACACCATAGTCACTCGGTTCCGCGCGCAAGGACACTCGGCTCGCCCGCCACTTCCGGTCACGGAGCCGCAGAGGCTTCTGGGAAGTGTAGTTTCGCTTGTCAGCCGCAAAGGCCTCTGGGGGTCCGAGTCTCCTTACCGCTCCGAGACGGAGATTGTGGTCCCACCGCGAAAGAACTCATTGAAGCATAGTCTTCTGGGCCGGACCGCCGCAAAGCAGTCTGTGAAATGTAGTCGGCACCGCCCCGTGAGGCGCCGGACTACTCTCCTAGCCGCCAAGGCTCCTGGGAAATGTAGTTCAGCCTTCGAGGCGTGAGAGGAGAGGAGGGGTTGGGTGTCTGGAGTGAGGCCGCAGAGTGGCACAAGATATCGGAGCCCGGGAGATCCACCCACGCCCGCGCGAGGAACTCTTGGCCCGGCCTAAAATGTGCCTAGAAGCTGGTTTTCACGGCAACGCGAGGGCGGGAATTGTCCGAGGAAGGCGGGTCTAAGTCACGTGATCGGGCTTGACGTGTGGGTTTTCCGTCCAGGGGGCCGAGCCAGGTCTTCGTCTGGGAGCGGGAGAGCTAGGCAAGAGGCCGTTGCCCGGCAACGCCCGGGCGTGGAGTCCCAGCGGCGGGGCCCCTCCCGGTGAGGAGGTAGGCTCCGAGTCGCGTGATTCAGGCCCTCCCAGAAGGGGCGCGGTGGGGGTCCCGGCCGGCTGCGGGACCAGAAAGGCGTGCTCGTGGCCCTCTGTCCCGAACCCCAGCCCCGGTCGATAGCGGGAGAAACTGAGGCCCGAGTGGGTGAGTGCGCCGTTGTGAGTGCGGAACGGGTCGCACACCCCCTTTGAAGTCAGGGGTCCAGTGGATTCTGCGAGGATCTGGTTCCTCCATTCCTTCCCTATCGCACGCAGCCCGGCTGCTTCATGCATATATCCATCCAACCCTGCCCCCCGCCATGGGGCTGCTGTGGTCAAGGCCAGGGGTAGGAAGAGGGTTGAGCTGAGGGGCTTCACGAGCTCTCCCTGGAAGTGAAGGAAGTGGGAGTGCGTTCCCTGCTGAGGAAATGGCTGGCATGACCGGGGAAGGGTGAGGAGTTTAGTTTTCTGAGACCTAATTAATAGGAGTAGGGGAAGATGAGGATGGACAGGTGGGCAGAGGCCAGCCCGCTCGGCCTTGTGGGCTGTGAGGAGCTTGGTCTCCATCCGGGGCTGTGGCGAGCCCTTTGGAGGGTTTGGAGCAGGACGGGGCACTCCAGATTTCTTTTGACCAAGATCCCTTTGGCTGCATGAAGAGGACAGGATGAGGAAGGGAGTGTGAAGATTGGGGAGCCTGGGAGGAGGCAGCTGGAACTTTGTAGTGGGGGCAAAGGACATAGGGCTGGATCTAGAGATTGGAATTTCGGGGATGCCCCAACCCACCACTTCTCAGCCTCCTGGGTCCTGGAAGGCCCTCTCTTCTCTTTGTCCCACTGAGTCCAGAGGATAGAAACCCCAAGGTGTGATGGGAGACCCATGACCCCAGAACTTGAAGCACGTAGCCTGTTTCTCTCTCACCTTCTCCCTGGAACAAGTAAATTGCTCTCACAGCTGAAGTCACATCTTAATCTTCATGACTTAGGGACCTCTGTCTCCAACCCAGCCCCGAGTGTCCAATTCTTTCTGGGTGTCTCTGGACAGAGTGGCCTTTCTGGGCTCTTCCAGCTCTTGTCTCCCACATTCCTCATATCACTCTGTGTCAATGTAGTATCTATTGAGCACCTACTGTGTACCTGGCACAGCTTTGGGTGCAGAAGACCCAACAGTGAACAAAACAGAAGTAGGTTTCTGTTTCCTTCCTGCCTTCATGGGGCTGACAGATTACCGGGAAAGAGGGACAGTGAACATGTAACAAATCATCAAGATGATTTCGATGATGAAAAGTGCTGAGAAAGAGATAAAAGTCCTAGAGGTAAGGGAGAGAGGAACCAGAAAGGGTGGTGCTTTCGAAAAGGAAGCCAGGGAAATGCCCTGGTTGGGGATGGGGGGAAAGTAATTTTTATGCTGAGACTTGAAAAAAGTGAGAGCAAGCCATGAGATTATATCTGCAAAGAGCATTCTGGGCAAAGAAAACAGCCAGTGCAAAGGCTCTGAGGCAGATGGTGACTGGCTGGCTCTGAGGAACAGCGAAGAGGCTGGTGTGGCAAAAAGCAGAGTGAGCAAGAGGAGCCTGGTCCATGCAGGGCCTTTTTGGCCATCAACGAGTCTGGCTTTTGTCCTAAATGAAATGGAGAGGATTTTCAGCAGGTGGAGGCAAGATGTGATTCTGCTGCTGCCTGGAGGGAGAAAGCCCCAAACTGGGGAGAAGATTGGCACAGTGGTTTAGGTGAGCGATATGGTGACCTGGACCAGGTGGTGGCTGTGGAGATGGAGAAGAGGAGCAGGGCCAAGGCCAGGAAGATCTTCGAACAAAGGTGCAGTTGGGGAAATGGGTGTGGCTGTGGGCCAGGCCTGTGCTGGCCACCCTTTCTCCTGCTGCAGACCCCGGGAGGGCCATGAAGGTGCTGCTCCTCACCGGGCTCGGAGCCCTGTTCTTCACCTATTATTGGGCTGACAACTTCGACCCGGGTGAGTGGGAGAGAGAGGAATTGGCTAGCTGTCCTGTGCACCTCCTAGGCTTATCACCCCTGCTGACTACCAGCTGTCCGCCAGGGAGCCCTTGTGCTGTTGACAGGGGCCAGTGCAGGTATCGGGGAAGAGCTGGCATATCACTATGCCCATCTTGGCTCCCACCTGGTGCTTACTGCCCACACTGAGGCCTTCCTGCAGAAGGTGAGACACCCCATTTTGAGTTTATTGGTGGGGTGGGGGTGAGGTAGAAAATGGGGCCTGGGTTTGAATCCCTGCAAAGATCCAGGCTTCCTGTGTGACCTTTGGCAAGCTGCTTAACGTCTTTGAGCCTTAGTTTCCTCATTTGCAAAACGGATGGATGCAGTAAGACAGTGAGTGTAAAGCAAAAAGTTTCCCTCAGTAAATGGGAGTACTGGTAGTGTCCAAAGCCTGTGACATAGCCAGGGTTCTCAAACAAAAAAGGGAGGTGGGTGGACATTTCTCAGCAACAGAATGTTCCAAGGAAATGTACAGCTCTTGGAAACAAGCCTTCCAGAGTTTCAAGAGTGGCCAGAAAGGTTGAGATTTATTTGAAATCTCCTGAGTTTTAAATATTGGTAATTGAGCAAATGAAATGTCCCCTATTCTGGCTGGCGAGATGCCAAGTTTGTGACCCCAGTGGTAAAGCTTTGGGAATGGAACAGGAAGCTCAGTGGTGGAGGAGGGCTTTAGGCTGGGGCCCCAGTGTGACATGCAGGTGGAGGGGGCCAGCTGGGGTGGAGGGGCCCACGGGCAGCTCTGGCCCCCTCAGGTGGTAGGGAACTGCCGGAAGCTGGGCGCTCCCAAGGTCTTCTACATCCTGCGGACATGGTCTCCCCTGAGGTGCCAGAGCGCGTGGTGCAGTTTGCGCTGGACAAGAGGGGCGGGGCCTGGAGTCTGGAACTTGGCCTAGGTCTTAAGGGCAGGACCTAATTGGAATGAGGGGTGTAGTAGTAACGGTTGCCTGTGGGCGGAGATTTATAAGGTTCTGGGGCGTGGTTGGGGGTGGAGCCTCATTGCATCAAGGGGATGGAACTCTGAACCGGGCCCCATTGGATCCAGGCCTGGAGGATCCAGGGAGTAGGGCGGGGTCTCTTTGATCTTGGGGGGGGCGCTACCTAGGGCGGAGTTCCTTGGGTCAAGTCTCTGGGCGGAGCTTTGCTAGTTTAAACGTCGGGGCTAGGGAGGGGTCTCATCTGCTCCAGGCGGTGGAGCTTTAAAGACTAGCTCCTGGCTAACGGGCCTCTCTGGGCTAGGCGGGCTGGACTACCTCGTGCTGAACCACCTCGGTGCCGCCCCGGCAGGCACTCGGGCCCGCAGCACCCAGGCGACATGCTGATTCATGCAGGTGCTCCGCCCCTCCCCGGCCCCGCTCCCTCTCGGTCCTGCCTCCGCTTTCCCGGGACGGCACTCTATTTCTCCTATCCCCAGATCCCATCTCTAGGGATGCTAGGTTCCACCCCGTTTCAACTTTGGCCACACCTATGGGTCGGCCCTCCAGCCCTCCCTTCCCAGACTCTACCTTCTCCCCTGTTCCGTTTAGGGCACTGTCCCTCCCTGCCCCATGCTCCGCCCCTCCTAGTTCTAGGCTCTACCGTCTCTAGGCCTTGGCTCCGCCTCTGGGCTTGAGCTCCTGCTCTTCCATCCGGGACTCCGCTCCAACCCTCGGGCACACCCATCCCTAGCCAGCCCCGCCCCCAGGCTTATAGGTTCTTCCCCCTGCCGGGTCTGGGCTCGGTTTTCCTTCTTCGCTGCTTGACTCGCAGTCGCCGCCTCCAGGTGAACTTCCTGAGTTACGTGCAACTGACTGCTTTGGCGCTACCTAGTCTGACGGACAGGAAGGGCTCCCTGGTGGTGGTGTCCTCACTGCTCGGTGCGTGCACGGGGGGGCGGAGAATGGGGAGGCCACAGGCCTCAATGCAGGCAAGCCTGGATGGTGCAAGAAGTCTTCCTGGAGGAGGGGGAGCGGCGTGTGGATGCTCAGCAGCTGCCCTCCGGCCCCGCAGGCCACGTACCCATGTCCTTCTCCAGCCCCTATTCGGCGGCCAAGTTCGCACTGGACAGCTTCTTCGGCCCCCTGCGGCGGGAGCTGGACGTGCAGGACGTCAATGTGGCCATCACCATGGGCATCCTGGGCCTCCAGGATTGCGCCTTGGCCGCCGAGGGTGTCAGGTAAGGCCAGAGGCTTGAGCAGGGGGCGCCCAGCCTCAGCTGCAGTCCCCACCACTTCCTCCCATCCCCAGGGGTGTCTCAAGGACCAAGGCGGCTCTGGGGCCCAAGGCAGCCCTGGCCATGATCCGCGGAAGTGCCACTCGTGCCTCTGGCGTCTTCTACCCATGGCGCTTTCATCTGCTCTGCCTGATCCGGGCCTGGCTGCCACACCCGAGGGCCTGGTTCATCCGCCAGGAGCTCAACATCACTGCTGTCGCTGCTGCCTGAGCTCCTGGGGGTGGAGCCTCTTCATCTTCTTAGAGGGGGACCCCCCATATCCAGCCATCTTGAAGCTGGAACACAAACCGAGATACCTCTGAGAGAGTGGCCCCAGCCCAAGATAGAACCGTCAAGACAGAAAAGGAAAACCGAGAAAAACTACCAGCACCTGGAAACAATGAAAACTCCAGTGTGAGAGCCGTGACTGTGCCAGTAGTACCTTGTCAGGGACTTGAAAGGCTTCTTGGACGTCATTGTTGATTGATGTGATCCCTGCTTCCATTTTGCAGATGAGAGAACTGAGGTTCAGGCTGAGAGAGGTGACGAGACTTGCCCCAGGGCCCTGGCCACACCAAACAGGTTGCACCATTGCTGAGCCACCCTTGGAACCTTCTCTGTCTCCCACCTGGAACCACCTTATTTGTTCTTTCCACTCAACCTCGGAGCATCGCCCAACCCTTGCCCCAAGCAAGGGAGAGCTGCAAAGCTGTCCACCGGATGGTAGGGTCCAAGGGCAGGGGAGGAGGGTAAGAACATGTTATAAGGTAGACCCAGCCTCCCGCTTCATAATAAAAAATCCTTCCCTTGCACATCTGTTGTTCAAATTCCTTGATTCTTCCAATTTGCTGGCAGCAGGCACAGAAGAGGGGAATGTGTGTACTAGAACTCTTAACCCCATTGCACAAGTGGAGAAACTGAGACTGGGAGAGATGTTGACTCACCCAGAAAGTCAGAGGTGGAAGGAAGGGTACTGATCTTGGACTAAAGGCTTTGTTTGCTGCATTAAGTACATGGTTTGTGTACCAGTAATGATAACATGGGTCGGGTACTACACACTTGACATTCATGATCTCATGGTCTCATTTTACAGACGAGAAAACTGAGGCTTAGAGGGGAAGTCAATGGCAGAAACAGGGATTCTGACACCAGACTCTCTCTCTTTAAGGCAAAGTGTGAGCTATCTGTGCACATCACTGATATTTACATAAATGAATTGAAAATTGACACTCTCCCTAAAATGGGAAACTAGAGGTGCTTGCGTAAAGAAAAGGCAACTGTAAAGATAAAAACTGTAAAATGAATACAGTGTTATAAATTGCTAGCTACTGTTGGCTGTTCAAGGCTCTAAGATGAGCAAATGTTAGGACTAGCTCCAAATTGATACCGTCTTACTGAGATAAATAGGTTTGAAAAATAAAAACCAGAAAAATTTTTTTGTTCCCACCACACTTCCCATCTCTGCACCACCTAAAATTACATCAAATTATATCAAGTGCCACCAGTGGGCACTATATACTACATCGTCTTCCTCAGCCCTAGCCCAGAGCTTGTTGGCCTTTTATAAAATGAAACCAATACCTCCGTTTATGGAAGTTTTATTTTGTGCCCGGTATTATACCATTATATTTGGTTCAAACAGTTTGGAATATGTCCTATTATTGTCCTCATTCTATAAATGGAGAACTTTAGGTATTGGGAGTTGAAGTCCTCTGCCGATTCCAGGGTCAGCCAGCTAGCCAGACAGCAATCCGCAGAGGTAGGATTCGAACTTGCAACCAACCGGCATAAGGAGGCATCGCAGCCACAGGCACGTCCACCAAGTCGACACCTTCCTAGGGCCCGCTGGAGTAAACGCGCATGCTCAAGGAGTCTGCAGGGAAGCCTCCAGCCGCGAGGGGGAGCCCGCGGCGTTTCTGCCTCTGGCCTGCGCATCTCGCGGGGAGTAGATATCCCAGAGTTCCGTGCGGTGTTGGCCCTTTAGCCGCGGCAGCCATTGAGGAGAGACAGGTTAGTTGGACCCCGTGCGGGTAGCATCCGCCTCCATCATGACCCTCGGGGTCCCAGTGCGACTCGGGGGGAAGGCTGGATACAGCGAGCGACCCCAGGGGGGCTGGGGTGCGGGGTTCCAGGCGGCGGTGGCCGAACAGGGACTCATCTCCACCCCCTCTCCCCGCCCCCGTCCACAGCCATGGCTCTGCGCTACCCCATGGCCGTGGGCCTCAACAAGGGCCACAAGGTGACCAAGAACGTCAGCAAGCAGAGACACAGCCGCCGCCGCGGGGTGAGTTCTGGGGCGAGCACTCGGAGGCCTCTTGGGAGGGTGTGGGAAGGACCCTCCGGCAAGGGCACAGGCTTCAAGCTACGAAGAGCGCGGTGGAGCGCAATCGGGATGTCGAGTCCCCAGGGCATTGGGGAGCCCTGCAGGGGCTGAGCGGAAGATGGGGGATGTCGGGCTGGCAGGAGCAATGCGTGAAACAACTTAACACGCCTGCGCGGCGAACACTCAGTATGGCCATGCACTTGGACCCACCTGCCCGTGGGATGGAAGCTGGGGCAGGTGGAGCGAGTTTGCGGGCCGGGTTAGGAGCAGGTTTTGACATGTGAGTCCGAGTTTGCGCAGTAGAACAGGAGTTTGGTTGAGGTTGGAATATAGAGGGAAAGCTGATTCTTCGAATGTCAGGTTGAGGATTTTCAGGCTGGTCTGGGTTTATGGACTCCTATCTACATATGCAACATCCAAACTTGTAGAGAATTTATTTTTTTTTAGCTGAGCCATCCTGCCACCTTTTGGCAGCTCAGCGGCAACTCAGCTCCGGCCGGGCATCGAACCGTTGTGCTCAGAGCTCAAACTCTTGAGTGAGCTCTTGACCAACTGAGCCACTCGGCCGGCCCTGTAGAGAATTTTTTATCAGACTTTATTTGAACCAGCCTGACAATTACCGGGAAGCAAAATCTAAATGCTTCTGGAGATTGTTTGCAGTTTCTTGTATGCATTTGAAATTGAGGGAATTGAAGGAAGCAAGCTGGGTTACAAGATCAAGTTAAGATTATATGGGGGGAGGGGGCGGGTTCTCGCGTGTCACACCTTGGAGGGGATTATTACTTCTGGCTTTTCAAAGGCGTGTTAACCTAGATGCACAAGAACCATGGACAAGGGCTGGCTTAAAACCTTTCACCAAGGTTATAGTCCTGGGGCATGAGTACCCACCATGACCTGCCCAGTTAGGAATTTGATTAATTACAGCAGCCCTTTTTTGTCCACACTTCATTATGTAGCCCTGACTCCATGGTTGCAGCCTGTGTCCAATGGGAGGGAATTCCAGGCCTGGGGAACAGCCTATGCAAAGGGCCAGGCATGACATGTTGATGACACTGGAGGGATAGGGGAGGACTTGCACTTCCATTTCACTGGTCAGAACGCTCCAGCTGAGGTTCCAGATGTGACGCCATATGGTCTGGCTTTGGAGCGTCCCCTTCTGATGGCCTCCCTTTACCCCCCCCCCCCCC